CCTGCATCGTCGCCATCCTGGGATGCACCCTCGTGGACCACCCGCAACAACAGGCTCACAAAAATGATTTTCGGAAAGTGGAAAAAAAAACACCCACCGACACCCCACCTCAACCGGGATTCGAACCTCCGCCAGCGCCACGGAGCGCAAGCAGCACGCGGTAAATGACCGCCAAATTCCTACGCGTCGCACCAGCGTGAGATTGCGAAATATCGCCCCCCTCTTTCTTGTTTTCGCGACCAGACTGCCGTACTGCCGTCCTCTGCAGCTGGCGTGGCTGGCGTGCGCGCGTGGAGCGGCTGCAACCCCTCGCCCCCCCTTTCCCCCTCCCCCTCCCCTCCGTCATGCAGGCCCTGCAGGCTCACGAGGGCCACTCCGCTGATTGTCCGCACACCGCCACATTTGCCAACGACTTCTGTTTCCTCCTCCAAAAATTTTTTCTTCTCCCTCGCGTCTTTTCGAGAGCCACCACCATTTTTATTCCGCTTTATTTATTTGTCGTTTCATTTGGATTACGCCGCGCGCAGACTCTCCAGCCCCCCGGCCTCTGTTCCTTCTCTCTTCATTTTTTTCACGAAGGCGATACAATGTACAATGGAGCAGGCGCATCCGCGGGGCGTCTCTGAAGCGGCCGGCATTTGCGCTCGAGACGTCCTTCCCCATTAGGGTCGCGCGCCGGGACTTGAACACCAGCCAAATACAGAGTGCAGTGGCTGCAGCGGCTGCAGCACTGTAGGGGCGCCAGGGGCGCAGTACGAATGCAGCGGACTGCATCCGGAAAGCGCATCTCTCCGTCTCTCTCGCACCCACGGGGCGCGCGGTGAAGGTGCGAGAGAGAGCGCTGCCGGCGCGCGGAGGGCTGCGGGCGCCCTTTCGACGCGCCGCGGTGACACTTGCACGCCGCCTCGCGTTAAAACAGCGGCGCCATTGACTTGCCCCTGTTTGCCTGTTCCCGCGACAAAGAGATTTATATTTTATTTACACTTCCTCTCCGGAGAAGCAGTTTCTTTTTACTATTAGCGGGCCGGGCCGGCCTCGCCGTGCGAAAACGCGCGCACTTAGCATAATCTAATGGTGTAGCAGCGGGCGCCGGTTCCGAACGGCCAGCGCTCTGTCTCTGTCGCTCTCGTGGGACGTCCCGTGAGGGTGCGAGAGAGACAGACAGGCAAAGGGGATGCTCGGAAGGCAAGCGGCAGCCCGGCCCGTGTTTCGGCAGCGAGCAGCTCAGGAATCCGAATGGAGGCCCGGTCCGGGGGGGGGGGGAGAGAGAGAGAGAGAGAGAGAGAGAGAGAGAGAGAGAGAGAGAGAGAGAGAGAGAGAGAGAGAGGGCGTAAGCGGGCAGATTAGCGATTCACTTGCTGCGCCTCCTTCGCGCGGAGTCGCCCGCTGCACTGCTAGTCTCGCAAGGGATATTTACGACACCGATGCAAATAGGGCCGACATTATTACGTCCTCCTCCAAGAGCCTCACTCTGTCTCTCTCCCACTCTTACAAAACGCCCCGCGAGTGCGAGAGAGACGACCAGCCGATGCATCAGGACGCGCGCGCGTGAAATCACGGTCCAAACTTTCGCCCCACCTCCGTTTACTTCCTCGTCAGGCGCACAGTGTGCCTGCCGCCGGCCTGCCGTTGAGCAAGCACAAAGGGGGTGGGGGTTGATGAATATTTGCTCCACCTCAGTTATTTCACTCCTCTCTACACTCTCCACTCACTGCCCCCTCCCCCTTTTTCTGCTTTTTCCGCGTTCGGGGGAAAGCTCGACTGCCGCGGGGCGGGGGAGGGGAGGGAGGGGAGGGGAGGGAGGAGGGAGGGGGAGGGGAGGGAGGGGAGGGAGGGGAGGGAGGGGAGGGGAGGGTGAGCTATCTCAACACGGCGACAAGGGAGCGCGCTGGACCGCGGCATTTGGAAGGGGAGGTCCTGTCGAACCATTGAGCGGCCGGTTCGTTATTTTCGCCAAATCCGCGAGCCGTGCCACGCCGTGCCACACTGTACCAAGCCGTGCCACGCCGTGCCACGCTGCACGACAAAGGTGGACATTAAAAAGCCCGCGCGGCGCGCCAGTTGCGCCTATCCCATTCATCAACACATTCCTGGCGACCGTCTGGCGGAACACAGCCGCGGCCGCAACCGCGGACAGGACCGCCGCACTGCCCCAAACCCGAAACACGCTCACTCCGAGCCGCCCTCTTTCATCGCGCTGTCTCTCTCGCACTCGCGGGGCGCCCCGCGGGGGTGCGAGAGAGACAGAGTGCCGTTCGGAGACGCCGGCCTGCTGGAGCGGCAGCAGCAGCGTGTGCCAAGAGGGGGAGGTGCGTGAACTCGCCGGCGGGGCGGCGGGCGGCATAGGCGGCAGCATCCCTTGACGCCGTGCTCCACGCCGTGCTCCACGCCCGGATCCAGAATTGTTAATTACCCTCCCCGCCCCTCCACGCTTGTAGCGAGGATCATGCAAATGTTACCCCTCCCCCCACCCCCACCCCCACTCCCTCCCCGCCCCGCCCGCTACACACGTCTCACAGTCTCACGCCGCGGATCTGACTCCAGCTGGCTCAGCGCCATTCACGGGGCCAATTGACTGCCCGCCGACGCGCAGTGGGCCAGAAGACCGGTGGAGGCGGCCAAAATTCTAGTCGCGTTTTGAGCTCCCGAGTCGCTAAATGAGACTCGAACCGGACGTGTGACCCCACCAATGGACCGATGGATCGGACGAACCGCCGCGAGGGACAAGGCGAGGCGGGAAAGGTAAACAAGCAGACGCAACAGACACCGCGGGGCGAGTCACAACACCACCAAGCACACCGAGGCTTTGTTGACGTCCTTGGCGCTGCCGGCCGGCCGGCCAGGGGTGCGCGCGCTCTGCAGACCGATTCCGAGAGTCGCTTTCGTCGCTCTGTCTCTCTCGCACCCATCGGGCGTCCCGTAGGGGTGCGAGGGAGACAGAGCGACGAGAACGACTCTCGGAGTCAGTCCCGCTGCACTACACCGCGAGGGGAGCGACGCGTAGCGCGTAGCGCGCAGCCAGCAACGTGTTTTGGTTTCCCTCATTTAAGGGTAATTGTGTTTATTCCTGCGCGTCTTGGCGAGGAGGCCGGCAATGTGGAAACAGTAAACCGTTTCGGCGGGTAAAGTGGATGCACAGGGATGGACCGCAGCTGCCGTGTGTGTGTGTGTGTGTGTGCTGATTGCGAAAACGTAGTACTAGTCGATCTGTCTCCCTCGCACCCGCAAACGACGCCCCTTACGTGCGAGAGAGACACAGCGACGAGAGCATACTCTTCCATGTGGACATCCCCGGTCATCCATTGTGGGGTGGTTCGCGACGGCGGCCACATCCTTTGCATCCTTTCTGGGAAGCGGGAAGGGGTCTCGGCCTCACAAACGGCCGTTTAGGTCCAAACACGCCGTAAAACGGAGTGGGACAGAGTGAAACGCCCCACTCTGGCGGCAGTGCGCCGCCACCCTGCACCAGAATGCACCCCCGCCGCCCGATGCACTCGTACAAACACGCCGCGCATTCCGACAGCAGACGCTCTGTCTCTCTCGCACTCACGGGGCGTCCCGTACAGGTGCGAGAGAGACAGAGCGACGAAAACGACTCTCGGAATCAGTCCGCTGCCCAACCCATTACAGAGCAAAATGATCACCCTGTCCAAAATCCTCGGCGGGGCGCGCGCGTGTTTCGGGGAGCGCGTCATCGAAAATAGAGTGGCCAAGCAAAGCCGCGGCGGTAGGCGCGAGGCGAGGGGCCCAAGTCGAAGGCGTTTAAAATTATGACGCGTTTTGGGGACCCCCTAGCGGCCCGCTCCACTGACGAACGGGTGGCAATAACGACACCTGCCACCAGACGGCGCCACGTGCACCAATTTATCGTCACGACCATTATCTTTTTTTAAACCCATTTTTTTCGAACGAGCGCTTTTTCACCCGCGAGGCGGCGTGGCGTCGCAGCCGCCGCCGAGGCGCGAAGGCAGGCAGCCCTTCCACGACACTAGAAACGCATTAGGCAAACCGCGGCGGGCAGGGCGCTGCAAAGTGCAGCGGAACAAGGCGAAGAGGGCCGCACAGTGGGCCAGAAGACCGGTGGAGGCGGACAAAATTCTAAACGCGTTTTGAGCTCCAGAGTCGCTGAATGGGACTCGAACCGAACGTGTGACCCCACCAATGGATTGCTCTCCGAACGAGGAATCCATTGGTGGGGTCACACGTTCGGTTCGAGTTCTGTTTAGCGACTCTGGAGCTCAAAACGCGTCTGGCGTTTCGGCCACCTGCGCCGGTCTTCTGGCCCACTGTGGGCTGCTGGAGCCGAAGGGCGAAACGCGAGGGCGTCAGCAGAAGGGCGCAGGGGCCGAAAGGTAAAGATAGATTTTTATCCGGGCTCCGCCGCGGCGACGTTTGCGCAGTGTTTCGCTGATCCCGGCGCCGCGGAAGTGAGGAATGGCCCCGAAGCCTCCGAAGCCCCTTATTTTTCCACACCCCCGCGCACCCCGCTGCTGCGGGGGCTCATTCCAACCGCCGCGCTGCGTCTCTCTCGCACTCGCGCGGCGTCCGCAGGGCCGCGAGAGAGAGAGAGACAGAGCGATGTTCGGAATCAGCCAGTGGATCGGAATCCGCCGAGCCAAACAATACTCCCGTCGGCGGTGGCGTCGGTGGCATCCCCCTGTGGGCGGCTTCTCTCTGGAAAGTTTCCTACAGTGGAGTGGTAGTACAGTACTTCAAGGCGCGCCCCGGCCACGAAAGGGGGTCATAAGGAATCCCTTTTCATATTCGGATCCGCCATCGCAGGGGCTGTTCCCGCCATACATGGTCGTGCCGAGCAAAAGGCCCCTCTTTAGAGCCACGAGCCCCGCGGCTGTCTCTGTCTCTCTCGCGCGCCTCGCGGTGCGCCCCGTGAGTGCGAGAGAGACAGAGCGGCGGGAAACGCCCTCGGCTCGGCGGGGGCCTCGATTGGCACGCTCCGCACGCGCCCCCCGGGAGGGGAGGCTCCCCGTCAGACCACTCACCTCGGCGATATCAATTCAGGACCGCGGTCGAAGCCAGTCGCCGCGCAGCGGTCCAATCCACATCGGGGAGTCGATCCTGAAACAGAAGGCGGACAGTGAGCGCACGGCCAGAGCGATTTATAGCGCAAAGAAAAGATGACCCGTGGCGTGGACTCCGCGCGGCACTGGGACTCTCCCGAGCTGATCTTGTGGGGAGCAAACTCCGTCTCTCTCCCACCTCTACGGAACTCCGTGCGTGCGAGAAAGACCGCGACGTTTCGGAGCAGCCAGGGCAAAAAGGAAAGGCAAGGGTATCGATGGCGCCTCGATAGTTCCACAAACGCGGCTGCGACCGCGGCGCGAACCCCGAAACCACCGTCGCTCTACTGCAGACTGCTTTTCGTCGCTCTGTCTCTGTCGCACGTGTTCAGGACGCCGCGCCGCCCCCGTGAGTCCGAGAGAGACAGAGAGAGCTCTGAATCACTGGCTGTTGCTCTGCGGCGCTCTGCGGCCGGCGGGTTGACTGGCCGGCTAAGCCGAAACTCGATCGCGCGGGACACGGGGCGGGCAGGGCGGCCAAACAGTGTGTCAGCGTCACTCCTGTCAAAGTCATTATTTTTTCTGTTCCCCGTTTCTGTGTTTGCCCGGCGCCCATTTCGGCCCATTTCCATGCGGTCCGTCGTCCCGTCCGCCGTTCCGCCCCGCTGGCCGCACAAACTACAGCACAGTGGGCCAGCAGACCGGCGGAGGCGGTCAAAGTCCCAGACGCGTTTTGAGCTCCAGAGTCGCTGAATGGGACTCGAACAGAACGTGTGACCCCACCAATGGATTGCTCTCCGAACGAGGAATCCATTGGTGGGGTCACACGTTCGATTCGAGTCCCATTTAGCGACTCTGGAGCTCAAAACGCGCCTAGATCTTTGGCCGCGTCCGCCGGTCGTCTGGCCCACTGTGCGAGGGCCGTGGGGCGGCCGCTCGGCCGTCTCTCTCACACCCCTGTGCAGAGCCAGGAGCGCGACAGAGACAGACTGACGTTGTCCGCAACCCGCCTGCAGCCCGAGGCCGGCCTCGGGATTTCAATCAGACGCCGTACAAGTGTCCGTCCGCTCCGCCCCGCTCAAACTAGCAGCGAATAATCCCGGGATAAAACCGCCACCCCCGTAGGGGAGGGGGGAGGAGGAAGGGGCAAAACGGCCCTGAACGAGGATTGTGTAACGGGGTAACGGGGTCTCGGTTTACCCAGAGTTTCTCATTTCTGCCCCAGTGTGGGTGGCTGTGGCTGCTGGCGTGCTAGCGTGCGGGTGGCCTGCCCCCGGGCGGGGCGGGGCGGGGCGGTCGCCGCGTCGCGGCCACCGCGGAAATGATTGACCCGCGGTATCAAAGCGCCAACGCTCTGCTGGCCGCGCAGAATGGGTTATTCATGCTGAAAGCGCCAGGCGCCCCTCGGCTTCAATACCAGCAGCACCCCGGCGCCCTCGCGGCCGCCTCCGAACCGACAGCGTCGCTCCGTCTCTGTCGCACCCCCGCGGCACGCCCCGCGAGTGCGACAGAGACAGAGCGACGACTGCTCGGAGTGTGGCCGGCCCTGCCTGCCCTGCCCCAGGGCGGGGCGTCGCGGTGGGGCCCTGCAGCCCTACAGTGGACCCGCACCCTTATTCGCGTCCCTACCGCAAAGCGCGCAAAGCGCGCAAAGCCTTGCAGCCCTTTGGGGCGCAAATTGGCCGCCGTCGCCCCGAAATTAATCAACCGGCATGCCCTGCCCTTTTCACGGCAGAAGAGTTGGCCACCTTTTTGCGCGCCTTCACAGCTTTTCGGCGCCCCTTTTGTTGTTCTTGTTGCTGTTCCGCTTTCCCGCGCCGGAAAGTCGCAGCGGCGGCCCCGAAAGGCCCAAAGGGACCGCCGCGGCCCTTGTCTTATTTAATCACGAGAATTCCGCATCCAGCGGCAAAGTACATCGGGGAGGGGCGGGGCGGGGCGGGCGCCATGTGGGAGGCTCATGTGTATGAATGCACGAACGGCCGCAGGGCTGCAGGGCCCACCGGCATACTTTGGCCGTAACTTTAAACTGGCCCCTAAAACAAACGCAAATGGTCTCGCGGGGCAGCCATCCTCGGAAGCCTCCCCTAAGCGGCTTGCGTCTCCAGTGGAGGCTCTCCAGGGGGAGTCTCTCCAGTGGAGGCTCTACAGCCGCAGCCACCGCTGAGACTCCAGGACTCCAGCCGCGCCGGTTGCTCCGGTGGACTGTACCTGGCACGGCACGGCACGGCCCACCGAGGTCACGCTTCACTTGCCTGCACTGCAGGGCCTGCAGGATGTCACATGCCGCACACTACCTGTCACGCCCGTGGACACGCGGCGCTCCTCGGCGAGGACGCGGCGACGTGCGGCGGACGCGCGGGGAGGAGAGAGATTCGACAGGGAAAACGGGGAAATTTCCCGCCGCAGCACAGGCTTGGCTGGCTTCACCCGTCCGTCCACGCTCGCGGTTTGATAAGTTATGACACCGGTGGCAAACATCGGCTGCTCACACACACATTGACTTGCACACACACGCGTGCGCCGTGCGGTGCGATCGGGTGTCGCGGATGATTTATGCACCCGCCCAGGAAGGGGTTGCCAATCTCCAGTAGCCCATCTACCCTCTCTCTCTCGCACTGGCACACTGTGGCACACACACGACGCACACGACGGCGCGGGCGGCGCACAGCGGAGCCAAGAGGACATCACGGACAAGTCGCACGCGGAGTCCTTCAACCCCTTCAGCCCCCTCCCCCTCCCCCTCCCCCTCCGCCCAGCCCTGGTTGGCGCGTCCAGATGGTGTCGACAGAGACAGCCTTCCGAAGCAACACCGCCACCGCGCCGGATGATCGCCAGAAAAAACAAATGGCGAATTGGAAGCCTCGCGCCTCGGCAAGCAAAACAAGGCGGCTGGGATGCGGGGCGGTGTTTTCGCTCCGTCTGCGCCGACAGGACCGAACCTGTCAGCCGCGCCGCGCCGTGCCGCGCCCAGCCGCGCGGCGCAAAATCGCCAAAAAGGAAGCCCTGGCGCAGTGCTTGTCGCCCTCCCGGGGGTCATTACCTCGAGTGGGAGGCGCACGGGGTGCGACGGGGTGCCCCACGGGGTGCCCCAGGAGAGAGGCACATTGACACACATTCGACGCCCCTGGGGCACCGCGCTGGGGCGCGACGGGAGTCCTTGTTCGGGCGGGACGAACAGCGGACCCGATTTCATCCCTCCGCCTCTCTCGCACCCATACGGCACGCCCCGTGAGTGCGAGAGAGACAGAGCGACGAAAACGACTCTCGGAATGAGCCGCTACAGTGGCGCGGCGCATGCCATCAGATCAAGAAGGCCGTCGAGATTACTGGGGGTGGCACGGCACTGCCGGCGGGGAAAGCCACGCGCCACTGGCGGCACGGCGATGAGTCACGGGGTCATTTGCATCCCCGGCGACCCCATCAAGAGCGTCCCTATCGTGGACCGGCATCGACGGCCACCCCGGCGCGCGGTGCACAGTGGGCCAGAAGGCCGGTGGAGGTGATCTAAACTCGAGACGCGTTTTGAGCTCCAGAGTCGCTTAACAGGACTCGAACTGAACGTGTGACCCCACCAATGGATTGCTCTCCGAACGAGGAGTCCATTGGTGGGGTCACACGTTCGGTTCGAGTACCATTTAGCGACTCTGGAGCTCAAAACGCGCGTCCTTCAGGTGCGTACCTTTGCTGGTGCTGAGGCTGGGGCTGGGGCGAAGGGTATTCCATAGGTCCACCACACTAACACACACGCACTACTCACTCACACAGACGCGTCAACTTTCACAAGCGGATATATACGACGCGATAGAGATTCGCGATCGACGTGCGACACGACGCGAGCGACCCTCTGGCGTTCACAGGGACGCGACACGTCGGGAGGGCGGCTGCTTAGAGACTGCTTGCTGGCTGAGCGGAGCGAGGGGCGGGCAGGGCAGCCGGCCGAACCGAACCGAACTCAGCGTCCCGCGCGCGCCGCCGGGCTTCGGCACGACTCGGCTCCGCCCGGCTCGGCTGAGCTCGGCTCCGCTCGGCTCCGCTCGGCTCCGCTCGGCTCGCGCGCGGCGGAAACAGCCGAAGTGCGTCCAGGGTGCGCGCGAAGCCAGCAAAGCAAAGCGCAGTCGCTGGACCACGCGACTCGCGTTCAAAATCCGCGATCTACGCGGTTCTCCGTCCTTGTTCGTTGTTGTAGAAAAGCCGCGTGGGACGAAGAAGGACCAGGAAGGACGTCTCGGGAACTGCACACCGATGAGGAAGGCGACACGGCAAGCTCATGGTAGAGGGCAGCACCGGGATACGCGCCACGATTTAGCCAGGGGAGCCCCTAGGAGTCTGCCAATTTCGCCCATAACTTCTTTGTCATGCAAGATAGACCCGTAGTGTAAGCGAGCCGATTGTAGGCAACGCTGCTAGCTTCCCAATAAGCTAGTTTTCATACATGTGCGATAATTGCAGTGAGAGCTATAAGTCAAAAACAGCATCCGTGCCGGCTGCCGCCTGGCTGCTAGTGGCGTATATCCCAGTGGCGCCCCTAGCGGCGAACGTCTGCAGTCGCCTTCCCTATTCCGGGAGTCGTTTCTCATCGCTCTGTCTCTCTCGCACCGACACGGGAAGCTCCATGAGTGCGACAGAGACAGAGCAACGAAGTTGCCTCTCGGAATCAGGCTGCTGGGGGGGGGGGGGGGCAGCTGGGGGTTGGTTCAACGTCCTCAGGTCGGTACCGACCTCCACCTCCGCCCCACTACACTAGAGGCCCCACCAACCCCGCCTTGCCCTGCCTCAACCAGCCTCAGCACGGTAACACGGTGGCTTCGCGCTGCGGGGTGGGAGGGGGAGGGGCGGTTTGGGAAGAAGGGGGAGGTCAAGTAGTCGTTGCCACGAAAATCGAATGGAACGAACATTCTAGGATTCATTCTTTTTCTTCGTGCCCCTCTAGACTGACTGCAGTAGACCGTAGATGCTGTTCACATTTGGGACACTGTGAAAGAATAATACATTTCATTACACAAGACCAGCTATTTATTTATTCACTTTGTAAATAATACACAGCCAGTGAGTGAACTCACTCCAAGTAACAAGGTCTTTTTCAGAGAAGTGGTGGTGTTGAGTACACTTGTACAAACAACTCAGTGAATTTTAAAATATTTACATATGATCAACAATAATAATATACATGAATTATGCATTCATTACAAGTATAATAACAGCATAAAATCTTCTTCGATAGCTGTGGAATCCAGTGATAGGTCGTGGACACCTTTCACTAAAACCTTGCTGAGAGTTTTAAACAAATCTGTCATTGTTCACAAAGGAACGACAGTTCAGTTCCAGGATGGATCAGAATTAACCACAGTAGTGCCTCAAAATGAATTATTTAACAAATTTATTATGCTGTGATGTTCTCATACTGCAATCTTAATATCAACAAATCAATCACATTTAGACATATCTAAACAACAGTTAAGAAAACCACCCTTCACGAACACCAACAATATTTACAAAAACAGAAAACAAAATTATAATATCACAATGAGTGCCGTTGCAAGTTACAGGATGACACATTTAGATAGTCTTCATAATCTGAACAAGAGAAAATTAAACAGCAAAGTAAAATGTCTTTCAATGTATAAACAGGGAGAACAAAAATGAGAATACTGGAAGACAGTTCTTCAAGCAGAAAGAAAAACAGCGGTAAAAAAGTGAAATAAATAATGAACCAGATGTAAGAAGGCACACTTCTTACAGAAATACTCTTGAGCATCCTGTTGTGTCTAATATCATCCATGGTTGTGGAGAATGACACTCCAAGATTTGGAAACTGTATAATACTGATGAATTTAGTAGACAGACAGACAAGACACAAATGAAGATACACCTTGTAACCAGTTTCTCTGAAGTTTTGAATTTCATTAATTGTTAATTACCATTGCAGCACAAATATCTATTTCGGTAACCATCATGGGCCGTTCTAACTTGCACATATCCCCATTAAGTGAGATATGCCCCATTAGAATTCTCTACCAAAGAACAGCATCTAATCTTCCTTGAGTCATAATTTGAAGAAAGATTGAGAGACATCACATAATTATGGGGTTTATCAAAAGAACAACTGACTGATCAGAGGTTACTTTGCAATGTATCACAGTGATTTCAATTAACGTGTACAAAGGTAAGCTTTCAACTTAAAATTTGAGAATGTAGACTCTGTGGCGAATAAAAACAAAACACTGGTTGTAATACAAAACATGCAAATAAAAGAGCACATTAACATTTCTAATGATAATGATGGAATGCCATAAGAATTATCCAGGTCCCATATGACATGTAAGGCCCTTAGGATAACTGATCAGTGCTAAGCACACACATTATGAAATACTACAGCATTTATGTCCAGAGTGGAAAATGTAAAGCAGGAACACTCACAGAAGAATTGTTAGCACCTGCAGCACTGTACATTAAAACATAAGAATCGCATGTTATGCATGTATGTTATTTAAACGAATATCAACATTTAGGGGAACAAAAGCCTCTTAGCAGGAAATACATAAATCAAAACTAAGAAGAAAAAAGAACTTAATATTCTTGAAAATTGACCTTGCTGACCCAGTCATTCAGCAGAGAGAGCTTGTCAACTACAGGCAACAAACTCAGAACTACAATCCACTAAAAAGACGAAGAAAGAAGCGATAAATCGAACACAATATCAGCTGAACTATGAACTCAAGTGACAAAGCAAAGTAATAGAATACCAAACAGATGCTATGTTGTGCAATTTTGAAAGTAACCTAGGTTCAAACGTCACAATTCATGTGCATGAGCAGCTTGAACAGCTTAGTAAGTCAAAAAATGCATCCAATCAACACACAAACAGAAAAATTCCAAATAAAATGTCAAAGCAGGAAATAATTCAATCCCATAATAAAAATCCAAAAACCAAAACATTTTATGAACATAGAGTAGAAACTTATAAAGAAAAAACTAAGGTAAGAATAAAACATTGAAACTATAATTGCTCTGTAACCACTGTAGCCTCGCATCTTTCTTTTCAAATTATAACACATTCATTAAAACATATTTAAGCATGGTAAGTGCAATCCTTTGATATAAAAGTCTGACCTCATTATTGGTCACTCTCCATCACACCACAGTGAATGCATATTATTGCACTCTCTGTGGACATACCAAAATGGGTCATCTTGACTCCGGAAAGCATGGGACTCACATACTCTGTGTTACAAAACCTTTTTTAACCCCCACACAATTTTTTTTAGCCTTTTTTGTTTTAAATAATGAAAAATAAATTTCTAAACAAACATGTTTAGGTTGATCAAAATATCATTATTATTATTTTTATGTTTCCTGGAAAGGAGAACTGTAATTACCAGCCAAGATTGTCTTGAGATCACTTGGAGTGAACCAAAAACAGTGCAGTGGAAAATGTCAAAACACCTCAGCAGGTGCAATTCATGTGATGTAGAACCAAACCAAGTACCCCAATAATACTCTTAAGAGGAAAGAAATGCCATTTAAAATGATACCCCTAAAAATTACTATTTTAAAAATACTTATTTTTAGATATTATTGATAGGATTTTTAGTTTTCATGAGGCTTTCATATTGGAAATCAAGAGTTGTTGTAGATTAGTTGGCCATAGGTGGGGGTGGTCCACTTGATCCCTGGAAAAGTAAATGTTAATTAGAAAAATCTTAATGATGGGCTTCAGATTAGTTGAAAATGAAAAGAAAAAGATAAAAGACAGGATACTTACGGGTCCATTATTGTTGTCAGCTGGCTTGGTGTCTGGGTTATTGCGGAGTGCTCTGGGTCGCAAGAGAAAGAGTCCAATAGCAACAGCAAACCACACCATCATCATCAACATAGCCCCTCCATCAGATGATTGCTGACCAGGCAGAGCTGGAACTTGATGATTTAACAGAAAAAGAAATGCAAGGTTTTCAGATTAGTTGGCATTTATATGCAACACTAGCCTTAACAAAGAAGTTATAATTGAACCTTACATTCATCAACACAGTCTATATCTGTGCAGTGTGTTTGTGACTGACGAAGCTGGAATTGTTCAAAATGACTATTAGAACATCGGCGATTGTAACTTTAGATTCATTGCACAGCATGTCCCAAGCTTACGAAAGAGAGAAGGCGGCGCATGGCCATTTCCCGTGGCCAGATGCATTCGCAGGGATCCATTCCGTCATCTGCCATTTTGTTGATGTATTTATAAGTCTGCAATCAGAAAATACAAATGTTTCTAAGCCCTGCGAAAACCCTGCGAAAAAATAATGAAGAGCATACAAAGGCGATGCAACATATAGAACATGTATTAGGAAGTCTGACAGTAAAGTGACAGTGAGACTTTGATGCTTAACTTTCAGGGACCAACGTCAAGAAGTGTACCATCAAAGTACGAAGGTAGCTCAGCCTTGAAAGACTCGAAAACTTATAACCTACAATTACTTTTTACATGAAATACTTTTCGAATGAAAACAACTTAGACAAGTGAGGAAAAACAGAAATACTGCTGAACTCCAGGAAAGTAATGATGTACATTGTTTGTTTACAACACATTTATCCAGGTGCAAAATCTGTTCAATTACTGGAGGTTATTACAGAAATTTAGGTAATCTGAAACTAACTGAGGAAACTTAAAGGGCGAAATAAAAACAGGCAGCATTAAACATAAATTAAAGACAGTCTTCATATACCCCAGAATGAAAACAGTTATTTGTTTACAAATAAAATGAGCAGACAGCTGAGTCTCTGCTATGTCAAATGTGAAGTCTACAGCGCAAACAAACTCAGAGGAAAGCTTGTTTCCCACAACAGCTATTTCCAAACAATAAAAAATGTTCGAAAGAACCACATACGGACGGATTTAGTGGATTTCTTGATCGAACGTTAAAAATATGACCTCATTACCTTCTAGACACCACGTAAACGTAACTAAAGTACAGTCCCAGCCCACACAGCTGACAACTTCGTTGTGCAAAACCGATTGGGCGAAAACCGACCAATAGAATTATTCCACAACCAAAAATAATCGCAAATCATGGATACGATAGGCGTTTGGTGGCAGAGAAGAAGAACTTGGGTATCCAATACACCCGGAAACAATTTATTTGGAGATATTTGGATCTAAGACGCAGAAAATGGAATGTTTGGGTGTCTTGGCTGACTGTACTGGCCTCATCACTATTTTGGGCGACTGTACAGGAAGATCAAACTGGCCGTGGATGCATTTCGCGGGCACTTGTCGGTTATTGAAGGTGATTGACAGATATGTCGGTTATTGAAGGTGATTGACAGATATTCATCGAGTTGATTTGCTGTGCGACTTTAAAATTTGAGATAGGTCAAAATGGAGCGCACTTCAGCGCACTCTTGAGTGCGAGTACAGTCGAGTCAGTCGAGTCGAGTTATCGCTTGGCAACACTGCCACCCACGTGGCCGTGGCTGGTGGAGGCGCCAACTTTCGTCCACTTTCGCCTACGGTCGCAGTTCGGAACCAGAGCAAACCTACTAAGTTGAAAACATTGCTGCGCTTAAATCACCGGGGCCGTTCGAATGGCTGTCCCTAATCCGCTGTCCAACGAGCACCTCGGACCGGGAAATGAAGCACCAGCCGCCAACCCTTCATTCCAACGATCGAGCAGCAGAAATCGAATATCTGACGAACAGATCCACTCCTCGGCATGCGGCAGTGCCATCGAAATCAACTACGACGAAGAAAGCCGCCCCGCAGTCAATCCGTTTGTATGGAGAAGAACGGTGGAGGCGGTCAAAACTCCAGACGCGTTTTGAGCTCCAGAGTCGCTAAATGAGACTTGGACCGAACATGTGACCCCACCAATGGATTCCTCGTTCGGAGAGCAATCCATTGGTGGAGTCACACGTTCAGTTCGAGTCCTGTTTAGTAACTCTGGAGCTCAAAACGCGTCTAGAATTTTGGCCGCCTCCACCGGTCTTCTGACCCACGACTGTGACCGACACGTGGGTGAACCTGACCGTGTGGTGCATTGCAGAACCTAGAGTGGGCGTTTGGAAGTCGACCCGGAGGACAAGTGCTGAACTTATCCCACGATGGACAAGGACTGGTGGCGTATTGCAACGCCCACGCCGTCGTGCTGTACGACTACAAGGCCCACGCCCAACGTCTCTTGCTGGGGCATGTAAGTACAGTACTTTCGGACTAGCTGTCTACGTGCTCAAAGAATACGAAACGCTCACCGTGACGTCATTTGATGTCAATATGCTAAATTTCGTCAAACAATCATTATTTTTAGGTCATTATTTTGACTTCCTTTGACTGCCCTGTGAGTGTTATGTGTTCCTTGAGCGGGATCGGCTAAACCTCCACTAGTAGTTTCTGAACATAGTCGCCGTTTGGGACAGAGAAATGCCGTGACATCCATGGCCATCGACGCAAGTGGCAGTTGGCTGGTGTCAGCGGACGGCGGAGTCATACAGGAGCCGAGCTGTGTCATTTTGTGGAATCTGATAGACGTGTAAGTTGGGTAGGGTGGTTCCACCAGTGTACACGACATGTCAATGGATGCCCCCGTTGCCCAGGTCGCTGCAGCGGGTGCTGCCGGGCCGGCCGCCCGAGCAGGGCTACCTGCTGGTGGCCATGAGCCCCGACGCGCAGCTGGTGGCCGCGGTGGCGGCGGGTCCCCGTCGACTAGTGTCGCTGTGGCGTTGCGCCGACGACGTGGGTTCGCGGCCCGACGCCGTGCTGGAGCTGCCGCAGTCGCTGGGCGCCGCCAACGCCATCACCTTCAACCAGGACGACCCCAGCCTGCTGATGGTGACGTGCACCAGGAACGTGGCCTTCTTGTCGTGGGCGTCCGGCAGCGGCGGCCTGCAGCTGCACGTCGGCCAGCTCATCACCCGGTGCCCCGGCAAGCTGCTGGCCTCCGTCTACCAGCGCGGCACCCCCAACGCCATCACCGTGTCCGCCAAAGGCTTCGTCATCTTGTGGATGGACCCGCCAGTGTACACGCCCAACGCCAAGGTCAGCCGCAAGGTGTACTGCATCGAGAAGGACGGCCTCACCACCGTCGCCGAAGTGGACGGGTAGGAGACTTCATTGTCCTTCCTTGACCACGCACAGTGGGCCAGAAGACCGGTGGAGGCGGCCACAATCATGAAGGCGTTTTGAGCTCCAGAGTCGCTAAATGGGGCTAGAATGGAACGTGTGACCCCCACTTATGGATTGCTCTCCGAACGAGGAATCCATTGGCAGAGTCACACGTTCGGTTCTAGTCCCATTTAGCGACTCTGGAGCTCAAACCGCGTCTAGAGTTTTGGCCGCCGGTCTTGGCCCACTGCGCCACGCCGCTCTGGTGCTTCAAGATGACCTGTTTTCAGCATGGTGGTCATCGGCACCACGCGCGGGCACATCCGCTTCTACGACCAGGACATGTGCCTGCTGCACTGGTACCAGCAGTCCGAGCTGGACGCCATCACGAGCCTGAGCTTCAGCGTGGACGCCGCCACGGCCGTCGCCGCCAAGGCCTCCGCGTCCTGGGCGGCCAGCAGGACGTCCTTCCCGACAGGTGAGCGAGGCCTTCCCCGTGCACGGCGTGCTCGGGGCGGTGGTCGCTTTGCTGGTGGCGACTCTCGGAATGTGGTGGTGACGGTGGCGGTGTCTCACCCCAGCGCGGCACAGCGTTGACGCGGAGCAGCGCGCCGTGCAGCAGCGGATGGACTTATCGCGGATGATTAGCGGGCCGCTGCCGCGAGGCCACGACGCCGAGGGCGCGTTCCAGGCGCGCGACCTGATCGTGAGTGAGTGGGACCAGCGGACCTCCCCAGCCTCCGCAGTCGCATGCTTCTTTGCCGTCCGAACCCCCCGGTTACCATCCGCATCACGGCGTAGAATGATTCCGAGAGTCGTTTTCGTGCTGTCTGTGCGTCTCTTGAGGGCCACGAAAGCGATTCTCGGAATCAGTCTGCAGAGCCGTCTCCAGCTCCATCACTCTGCATGCCCGCAGGCACGGATGCGGGTCGCATGGTCCTCGTGTCCTTCGCGAGCGAACGCTGCGTGGTGCTGCACGACTACCAGGTCCCCATCACCGCCATCCAGACCCACACCGACAAGTGAGCAGCCGCACCCTCGTTAGGAGAGCAATCCTTCGGTGGGGTCACACGTTCGGTTCGAGTCCCATTTAGCGACTCTGGAGCTCAAAACGCGTCCGGGATGTTGACCGCCTCCACCGGTCTTCTGGCTCACTGCGTTTCGGCGGCGGCTATACCCCGCGCGGCGGGACAGGGCGCCGCGCAGGCGGGCAGCACAGCGCGCCTGCCTGCCGGATGGGCTGCCTACCTCCCCGGCGGCTGCAACGCTCTCGCTTTTAAGGGCTGCTTGTTGAAAGTCCTTCTTTAACCTTTAATCCTCTGCCTCCAGGCCGCAGCTGCTGATCGGCAGGGCCGACGGGTCCATCTCGCTCATCGACTACGAGAAGAAGGAGGTGATGATGACCTACGCGTTCGAGTGCAAGCCTGGAGCCGAGCCGGTGGCGGTCACGTCGCTCAAGTATTCGCCCAATGGTAAAACCTTTATCAATGCCCTTATCAGAAAAGTAGCCAGAGAAATAACTTCGCACCAAGCGCACGCTGGGAACATTTCAAACTGGTTTGCGGGTTAGGTTCACTCACGTCGAGAGGGACTCACCTGCTCGTTTCCCAGCTGGTTTGTGACTTTGAGGTGCGGTACTGGCGTGCGGCCGCGCCAACGGGACGCTGTACCTGCTGCACCCCGTGCTGCTGCAGCCCATCGTGCCCCAGCCGTTCCAGAAGACCCGCCACGCCGTCCGGCACCTCTGCTTCTCGCCCGACAACATGTTCATGGCACACTGCGTGAGTCCCTGGAGTCGATACTCCATCCGCGGCGCGCCGCTACCCCGCGCCGCGCGGCGCAGGGGGTAGCGCCGAGTGCCGGGTCCGTGAGGACGGGGTCCTTGGCCAGGAGGGACACTGCGCAGTGATCCAGAAAACCGGAGGGGGCGGTCAAAATCCCGAACGCATTTTGAATCGAACGTGTGACCCCACCAATGGATTCCTTGTTCAATGAGTAATCCATTGGTGGGGTCACACGCTCTGTTCGAGTCCTGTTTAGCGACTCTGGAGCTCAAAACGCGTCTAGAACTTTGGCCGCCTCCACCGGTCTTCTGGCCCACTGCGCGCTGCTTCTATAGTTCGCGGTGTGCAGGACAGCGCCAACTTCGTGTCGGCGTACCGCTGCCACAACGCCGCCAAGGGCCGCTGGGTGTACCTGGGCAAGCAGCAGCTCCACGGCCTGGCCGTGCGCTGCCTGCTCTTCGGGCCGCAGCCCTTCGACGCGCCGCTCTTCTCGCTCGGCGAGGACCTCCTGCTGGTGGAGTACGACGTGGCGCACAGGCGAGTCGCGGCGCGGCGGGTTCGAGTCCCGGTCGCGGCGATCCTTTGGGGGCGCTAAAAGGGGATTCTCTCTGGACAGCATGAACAACACGCTGGTCGTCCACCGGATGGACCCGGTGGAGCAGTCGGGGGTTCCCTCGCACATGACGTGGTGCCCGGGCCGGGAGGAGGGCGACGACTTGACGCTGCTCATCGCCACGTCTGAGGTACTGCCCGGGTTCGAACACTGGGGGTTCCAACACACATTCGCAACTTGGACCTTCTTACGGATCTGTTTTGTTGCCAGTACAAGTACAAACTGGTGGACCTCAAGTCGCGGAGCCTGTGCGGAACGTACCAGGGCCCGCGCCTCCGCACCCCCGTCTGCACCATCAAGGTGGACGCGGTTCCAGCAGCCGGAGGACACTGCACTGCAGGAAGTTGAGCTTGATCGCGTTACCTGGCGTTCCCCCAGACGGTGGGCGGGGCTGCGGCCAAGCCCCCCGCCACCGCCGTGTACGCCACGCAGCGCCACATGGGCCTGCAGAGCCTGCCCCCGGACGGCAACCCCTACACCAACCTCGCCATGATCGTCCACCCCGTCAAGGTGACCGATGCGGAGCGGCGCGCGTTCGAACCGCCGTCGACGCCCCTCGAACTGCCTGGCTAGTTGAACCCTCTGTCGTTGCAGATCATGAACTTCATCACCTCGTCGTGCGAGCAGTACGTGTTCTCGTGCGGCGAGCAGGACCACAGCGTCTTCATGTGGCAGATCAACCCGGAGTGAGTGTGCGTCCGGGCCGCCACCAGGACGCCGTCGACGACGACGGCTTTCGGCGCTCTGTCTTTGTCGCACTCATGGGGTGTCCCGCTAGGGTGCGAGAGAGACAGAGCAACAGGCAGTGCTGGCGTGCGCAGGGCGGTGGAGGCCATCCACGCCGAGGGCGACGAGACCGGGCTGGAGCCGTGGCTGCTGGCGCTGCACGGCGGCCGCGACGGCTGGCTCTTCAAGGCGATGCAGGACATGTTCTGCTTCGCGCAGCTGCTGCACCAGGGCACCTTCAGCACCGAGCCCAGGCTCATCGGGGACCGGCTGGCCGTCTGCGAGGTCCCCGACGTGCTGCGCGCGCTGGGCTACTTTCCCTCGCAGTTCGAGGTGCGGACGGTGTAGACTTTAGGCCAGAGCGACGGCGGCACAGTGCGCCAGAAGACCGGGGCAAGCGGCCAAAACACTAGACACGTTTTGTGTCCAGAGTCGCTAAGAAGGACTCTGACCGAACGTGTGACCCCACCAATGGAAAACTTTATTGACTTGCAGATCAACACGATGGTGCGAGAGGTGCTGCGGAGCGGCGACACCATCAGCTCGTCGGAGCTGGTCAAGATGCTGGTCAACTACAAGCCGTCGTACGGCGTGTCGCTGGACCAGCTCCGCGAGGCCTTCAGCGTGTTCGGCTTCCCGTCCGGAAACGACATCGTCATGTCCAAGGAGAAGTTCCTCTCCGTGCTGCTAGACAAAGGTGAGGGAGGCTGCAGGCTGATTCCGAGAGTCGTCGTCGTCGCTCTGTCGCTCTGACGATGTGATTTGGGCGGCGCGCGCCAGGCGAGGCCATGGACCTGGACGAGGCCCTGGACGTGCTGCGGATGCTGCTCAAGGGCGAGGCCGCGTTCGACGCCGAGGCCGAGGGCCTGTACGGCCACCTGCTGATGGACGAGGCTGCACGCAGGGAGAAGCTCTTCTACTTCCTGCCAGAGGTAAACAAGTCCACTTTCATCCACCGCGGGCCAAAATTTGCACCTCCCCGTCGTCCACGTCCGTTCACAGACCATCACGTTCAACTACCTGGTGGAGGCGATCCTGGGCGTGAGCAAGCAGGACGCGAAGCAGCCGGAAGAATCACGTCAAAAATAAAAGCTGTCGCGGGATTCGAACCCGCGTCTCGGGGAGTCGCGGACTCCGGATGCGTTGACGACGGGTAGCCGCAGGGGGTTGGCGTGGGTGGACGCTGGGGGACGGGGCGGGGGAGGGTCGGCACGGAAGAGTCGCCGCTATGTGGGGCACTGGAAGGCAGAGCCTGACAGCAGCGCGGGCGGACCGGGATGTAGAGCATATCAACATCAACATCTATTGATGCTGGCTAAGCAGCATTACGCCCCAAGACGGCCGAGCATTGTTTGTCGACTTTCGATCAAGGAAGGTCAACAAGAGCCGCGTGTACCGTGCAGCCGGGATGCAGCCGTGCACACACCGCGCGCCTGCACTGCAATGCCCTGTTGGCTTGTTTGGCGTGGATTCGCAATTAGGCGGGAAAAAGCAGGAAAAAGGCCGCGGCCGGCCGGCACACTGTGGGTCAGAAGACCGGCGCCGGCGGCCAAACCTCCGGATGCGTTACTTGAGACCTAGAGTCGCTAAATGGGACTCGAATCAAACGTGTGACCTCACCAATGGATTCCTCGTTCGGAGAGCAATCCATTGGTGGGGTCACACGTTCGGTCCGAGTCCCATTTAGCGACTCTGGAGCTCAAAACGCGTCCGGGATTCGGTCGGACCGCCTCCACCGGTCCTCTGCTCCACTGTGCGGCAGTACCCGTCGGCTGGCGCGCTCTGGCGGCGGCCGCGAGAACCACGTCGATCACGGCGTGATGGCCGCGCCGCCGTCTGCCTCCTTCCTTTTATTTTCCCTTCTCTTTTTACGGAGCGCAGCTGGGCGTCCAGAAACTATGGGGGATGCTAATGCCCCATTAATCTGCATGATTTGACCCCCGTGTTTCTTTGAATATGAAAATTTGCCGTGCTCGCTTTTGACAGGACATTGTTGGGGCGCTCTTCTCAATAAATCAATCCGGCTGCTGCCCGCGCCGCCGCGCCGTGGGCAGCAGGCTGAATCCGGGACGCTCTTTCTCTCTCGAACCCTTACCGAACGCCCCACGAGTGCGAGAGAGGCAGAGTGCGACGAAAGCACGCTTCGGAACTTAGCAGACTGGTCGAAGCGCTGCTTCTTCATGGAAAATAACGAAACGATGTATAACGCGGCCGCGACGGCTGCACTGTCGGCTGCCGGTGTGGGCTGGCTGGCTGGCTGGCTGGCTGGGCTAGTGGCTGGAAATTGGGCGGTAAACAGGGCATCGGGTGTTTTGGCCGCGTTCTGTCATCATTAGCGGGCCGGCGATTTATGCCTTCCGTTGAACAGCAGCAGACTGATTCCGAGAGTCGTTTTCGTCGCTCTGCCTCTCTCGAACCTATACGGGGCGCCCCATGAGTGCGAGAGAGACAGAGCGACGAAAACGACTCTCGGAATCAGTCTGCTGCAGGTTGGCTCGGCTGGGGCTCAGTCTTGTGGCGGGCGCAGGGCGTAGGGCACTGGACCTGTGCGGCCGACTCAAAGGGCCGAATAAGGAAGTGGGCAAGAGCCCCCCCGGGCCTCGGCCTCCGACCCTGCGGCCCCGCCGGCACCTCCAGCGATAACTCGAGACCTGGCCGGTCCTTTGACGGCCGCTGGACTATGCCGGCCTGCGAAGCCGGAGAGAGGGAGAGAGAAGGGGAGAGAGAGGAACAACGGTATGGAAATAAAAGTTTCACAATTTTGCGAAACGGTTCGAAGCTTATTAGCCGAGCGGGCCGAGCGCGGCTGCGGGGCTCGGCATTGTCCAAATCGTGACTCGGGCCCCTCTTTCCCGGACTTCGGGGAATCAATTTCATCTTTGAATAACAGAGGTGAATCATATTCGCTTGTTGGCCGTACTGGGAAATAATTTGAATTATACTGCACGAACTGCTTGTCGTTCGGGCCGGCCAGGCCTTTCGTGAGCGGTCTCCGCCAGGCTCGCTGACGGCGTGGACGGCGTGGACGGCGAGCTAGGTGCTTTCTGATCGCTTCTGACCATCGCGGACCGCGGCATAGCGAGCTGCTGCAGTGCAGTGCCGGGCCGGGGGCACGACCGCCGGAGAAGTACAATCTGTCGACGGATTCGCCGAATACTGTTTTTTCAGTGTGGTGGTAGTGACCGCCTCCGGGGAGGTTGGCACACCTGTCTGTCAACGACGGCGGCGGGGCAGCGCGCGGAATCGAACACAGATCAATGCGGGCAGTTCGATTTAACTCGCGGGCCACGTTTTGTATAGTGTCGTGGAACAAAAGGCACGGGCCCCTCTCTGTGGGGGATAATATCGGTGCGATCCGAAGGCGCATCACGAAGCTTGCGGTTTCTCCGCGGCAACATAACGTCCTCGTGCCTCAACTATACCACCCGGTTGTTGTTGTTGTTGTTGTTGTTGTTGTTGTTGTTGTTGTTGTTGTTGTCGGAACGCGGCAACGCCCGCTCCACGAACGCAGTCTTTATGGCAGGTGCCGGTGCGATGTTGCGATCGCGTTCTCGCGCCATTATCTAGTCGCAGGTGCGGCACTGCCAGGCACTATGCGGGACTGAAGGCTAGACCGGGGCTGCGGCCAGGGCGGCCAGGGCGGGCACGCGCGCCAAAGAAAGCACCAGGTTGGCCACCACAACAATGTTATTAAGTTAAACGAAAATATCGCCCGGGGCCGCGCACTGTGGGGCCCGCACGTCGGGCCTCCGAGCGTGCTCCCGCGTACTGGGAGCCCAGGGTTTGCCAAATTTTGGCAGGCTGGGGAGTATTTCAGGACCAGGCTTGCCAATTTTTGACACTCAAAACGGTTTGCCAATTTTGTGACCTTGCCACCGGCGTTGAAAAGCGACCCAGCGAGCGCCACCTGCCGGGCCGCGCGGCCGAAGCGAAACTAAACAGTGGCGCCGCCATTGTCTCCGCTTTGCATTGTAGGCACCTGAATGCAGGTGAATGACCAAATCGGGCCGTCTGGCGTGTCTGGCGAGTCGACCTCCAGACACTTTGTTCGGCATAATAACAGGCTGGACCCGGAGCCTTATCAGACGGGGGCCCCACATGGGGCGGCGGGGGGGCCGGCCGGCGAAGGCCGTATTACGCCTCACCCGCCGGTCTCGCGAAAAGCGACTCATTTTTCACCCGTTGATTGGCTTTGAGTGATTGTCCGTCACCAACAAGGTGGGCAGCCGTGGCGGTGCCTGGGCCTCGGCCTGGGCCGACAAGCGTGGCAGAGAGGATTAGATTAATGCGTCTCGGATGAGTGACTCTTCTCAACAGCAGTGTCAACTTCAACTTGGGCGGCGCGTCGGCTATCCGGGAGCGACGGACGCCCAGAACGCGGAGAATGCCCGAGAAACAGAATGAATTCAGAAACACCGGGGAAACGAATTAAAAATGGGGGTGAACAGTGGACCGGTGGAGGCAGCCAAAACTCGAGACGCGTTTTGAGCTCCAGAAATGAACGTGTGACCCCACTAATGGATTGCTCTCTGAACGAGGAATCTATTGGTGGGGTCACACGTTTGGTTCGAGTTGAGCGACTCTGGACAAGGGGTACCCAACTCAAGATAATCATTGCACGTCTAGTTGGTAATCAGTGAAATAATCAACATCATCCAACGAAATGACAATCATACTTTCGGAGATTCAATCACTTTTGACCATTTTTGCGAGACAACTGCTCCCAAACTATCAGCGGTCAAAGCCTTCCCGAGGCGGGGCATGAAAGAGTAGGGTCTTCAGCATAGTAAGGCGTCGAGGGAGGCCTTTGACCGCAACTAAATTGGATGCAGTGACCGCTCAAAGTCAGCAAAAACGGTGATTTTATGAAATTCATTCACTTTTTGACCATTTTTGCGAGACCACTGCTCCGAAACTATCTGCGGTCAAAGCCTTCCCGAGGCGGGGCATGAAAGAGTAGGGTCTTCAGAATAGTAAGGCGTCGAGGGAGGCCTTTGACCGCAACTAAATTGGATGCAGTGACCGCTCAAAGTCAGCAAAAACGGTGATTTTATGAAATTCATTCACTTTTTGACCATTTTGCGAGACCACTGCTCCGAAACTATCAGCGGTCAAAGCCTTCCCGAGGCGGGGCATGAAAGAGTAGGGTCTTCAGAATAGTAAGGCGTCGAGGAAGGTCTTTGACCGCAACTAAATTGGATGCAGTGACCGCTCAAAGTCAGCAAAAACGGTAATTTTCTGAAATTCATTCACTGTTTGACTATTTTTGCGAGACCACTGCTCCCAAATTATCAGCGGTCAAAGCCTTCCCGAGGCAGGGCATGAAAGAGTAGGGTCTTCAGAATAGTAAGGCGTCGAGGAAGGTCTTTGACCGCAACTAAATTTGACGCAGTGGCTGCCCAAAGTCACCTTAACAGCTTTCCGAGGTCAGCGCTCAAATAATCCCCAATATTTCCCAATAATCAACATAATAACCTCCTATAATCAGTGATAAATAATAAAATAATCAAAAGAAATCACATGTAATCATACTCTAAATATAATCAGTGTACATGAAAATCTATAGTTGGTTACCCCTTGACTCTGGAGCTCAAAACGCGTCTAGAATTTTGTCCGCCTGCACCGGTCTTCTGGCCCACCGTGCAGTGTAGCCACGGGCCATGGGAGGGATGCATACGCACCTCGGTACATGTTTACGATCACGGCCTCTTAGCCGGGACGGCGACTCTTATCGGGAATCACTCCTCGTTTTATTGGCGACCAATGGGGCCCCGTGTCCGACAGTCCGACCGTCGCGCCGCAACGCGCCGCGTCCGTCCATTCACACCCTTGGGGTGAAAATGGAAAGAACAGCGGAGGGCAAACACTTCGGCCAGGTTTGCATGGCGGTATTTCTTGCCACCGTCTTCGGGTGCACTAGCTGATGCAAGCC